CTCCCTCCATCCCCCACCCCCCCTCTCCCTCCCCCTTCTCCCTCCCTGACCGTGTTCCCCTCACCTTGAGGTAGGCCATGGTAAGCAGTGGAAGCAGTGTGAACGGCACCAGGTACAGCAGGGCGGGTTGAGCGGCCTTGAACACTTCCGAGGACACCGTCGCTGTCAGCAGACCTGACGACACAGCACAGGTCAAAGGCCAAAGGTCAACATAAACACACAAAACAAGTTTTGTTTTAGTTAGGTTTTTACTGCGCTCGTAACTGCATAAGGTCATATGAGCGCCAAGGGGTGGATGTCAACAGAGAAGTCCAAACGGGGAAATCAGGCTTACTCCGTTCACCTCTCAGCCTCAACAGCACAGTCTTTTGTTTTAGTACCGGTAAGTGTTTTACGGCACTTGCAACACAATAAGGTCATATAAGTGCCGAAGATTAGAGGTGTTACAAGAGAGTAACAAACACAAAACAGAAGGAGAGATAAGGACGACATGTTTGATAGGAAAGAAGAAGGAAGCAAACCACACCAGAGCGCCCTCCAACCACCCAGTAAGTAGTAAGGTTTTACTGCGCTCGCAACTGCACAAGGTCATATGAGCGCCAAGGGGTGGATGTCAACAGAAAAATCCAAACGTAGAAGTAGAGGAAAAATGACAAAATAGTAAGGATGAGGAGAGAAAAAGCAGCAGTTCCCCCTATGTTGTTCCGGAACAGTATGAGCATGACATTGATAAATCAGCACATTTACAATTCTACTCTGCATAAGAACGTGTTAATATCCACCCCCTCTTTGGGAATGGCTTAAAGACAACTTCAGTCAGTAGTTTTAGTAAGAAGAGTTTTACGGCACTTGCAACTGCATAAGGTCATACAAATGCCCAGGATTAGAGGCGTTACAAGAGAGTAACAAACACAAAAAAGAAGGAGGAGAGACAAGGACGATAGATGTTTGTTTGATAGGAAAGAAGAAGCAAACCACACCAGAGCACCCGCCAGCCAACCACCCACTAACAAAGAGAGAACTGACCCACCTAAGAAGTACCCGATGAGGGAACAGTGGAAGTAGGAGATCCGCTGTACGTAGTTGGGCGGGGGCGGCACGCCGGCTTCTGCCGAGCACAGCTGGGACTTCTTGTATGTGTCGTAGCGCAGCACGAAGCACAGCAGTAGTCCTGGCATCACCTGGCAACCACAACACGCAAATCAAATAGGTAGTTTAGTTTTAGTAAAAGTTTTACGGCACTTGCAACACAATAAGGTCATTTAAGTGCCGAAGATGAGATTGTCTTGTGATAGAGGTTTTACGGTGCTCGCAACTGCATTAGGTCATAAGAGCGCCAGAAGATTAGAGGTGTCACAAGAGAGTAACAAACATAAAAAAAGAAAAAGGGGAGATAAAGACGATATGTGTTTGATAGGAAAGAAGGAGCAAACCACACCAGAACACCCGCCAACCACCCACGAAGATGAGATGTGCTACAGGAGGGTAACATACATAAAAAAGGAGGGGAGATAAAGACTATAGATGTTTGATAGGATAAAAGAAGCAAGCCACACCAGAGCACCCGCCAACCATCCATACACAAATGTAATGTACACAACACACAAACATTTAGTTTTAGTAAGAGTTTTACGACACTTACAACACAATAAGGTCCTATAAGTGCCAAAAATTAGAGTAACAAACACAAAAAAAGGAGGAGGAGAGATCAGGACGATAGACGTTTGATAGGAAAGAAGGAGCAAACCACACCAGAGCACCCACCAAGCACCCACCGACAGTACACAAGTCGACAGTACACCACAAGTGACTTACAATATCTCCCAGTCCCAGCATGTTGAAGTGGCTGGAGTTCTGGGTGCTGAAATTCAGAGAAAAGAAAACAGTTCTAGTTAGTGTTTTAAGGCACTTGCAACACAATAAGGTCATATAGGATGGGGGTTCAGCAAGTCTTTGGTCTGGGTACGAAGGAATCACGAGTAGAGTAACGAAACTTCTCCAGCCTTTCGACCATTTCTTTGGAACACACCTTGCAAATTTTCGGGAATATCCAACCAAAAATAATAAGGCACTAGTCGGCGTGTTCAATGAAACCATGCACAAAACCATTTGGTTTTTCTTTGCTGAAGCTGTGCCATGGAGCCTGTTGAACATCACTCAGGTATCAAGTTTTTACACTTGCAAGGAAAATCCCCTTTGGACATTTTTTCAAGAAATGGTCAAAGTTTATGGTGACAAATATCCTCGTTATAATATTGTGACATACTGGGTAGGAAAATTCCAATCTGGATTCACGTCGGTGATGGATGAAGATCGTGAAGAGCGCGCATCCTTTGTGGTAACTGAAGAGAATGTATCCATAGCGAAGAAACTAGTTTTACAAGACCGACGTATAACTGTTAAACAGCTCTAAAGTGAAATGAGAATCACTGTAGGGTCAATTGTAACGATCCTCCATGACTATCTTATCATGAATAAGGTGTCTGCGCCTTCCAATGATTTGATTGAGTAGATGTTTTACGGCGCTATCGACACAATTTTGGTCATTTAAGCGCCAACAGGTTTCACCGCTACAAAATCAGACGTGTTTTTAGTAAGAGTCTCTCAGAGCTCGCAACAGCACACGATCACACTATTTTCATTATGCTAAAAAGACGAACAAACATTTATAAAAAATTTTGTAAATATGGTAAAGGCTTATTTACATTTGTATATACAATATTAATTTCAGTGTATATATATATATATACACCGACAACGATAACTATATATTTTCATATTCTATTATAGTCCAATTTCTTTTATATAACTTGAAATTTTTCTAGGGTCTACGATGTCAAAAAGGGTCTTAATATCTGTACATTTAAAATATTTCTTACGAACATCATTAAATTCGACACATTCCGTTAGAACTGTGAAATTTGTGTTGCACGCCACGCAAAAAGGAGCTTCCTCTCCTTCGAGAAAATGTTTGTGCGTGACGTGCGTGTCTCCTATCTTTAGTCTGGTAAAAATTACTTTTTCTCTTCGTTGGAGAGATAGTGGTTTCCTGGGCGTAAGTTGCGGTTGTATGTAATGGAGTTTGTTGTGTATTTGTTGATTCCAACGTTCCAACCACCCGCCCACCCATCATGACAGCCTCCATCCACCCGGCGACTCACCTGGGGAACACCCTCTACCCACCCGGCCACTCACCTGGGAAACACCAGCTTGGCAGGCAGCGACAGCTTGGGAGCGTCCCTCACTAGCCCCGTCAGGTGAAGCTTCTTGGCAAACAACCCAACCTGGACACACACGCAAACAAAGAAAACACACAAGTCTGTCAAAATGTGGTGACCGTTTTTTTGTTTCTTGTAACAGACACAAAAAAGGAGGAGGAGGAAGAGAGATCAGGACGATAGATGATGGGTGAGTTAGGTGAACACTGTGGAATCTCAATGTTTAGACAAACACATCATTCAGACATATAATCTCTCTCTCTCTCTCTCTCTCTCTCTCTCTCTCTCTCTCTCTCTCTCTCTCTCTCTCTCTCTCTCTCTCTCTCTCTCTCTCACACACACACAGGCACGCACGGATACACACACACACATGTAATCTACTCGTGGACCTACCGGGTTATCTGCGGGCCGCGTTGCGACCTTGACCATCACATTGGTGCTGAAGATGTAGGACGAGAAAAACACCTGCACGGGGAAAAGAAAAACCAAAAAAAACAGTAACAATCAGTAAACTAATACCTGACAATGTTCCGTCTAGGGTATTGTAGTTCATAACTATGGGCAGCCATAACAGTGTACAGTCTAGTGTGTGATTAACAAGTCTATGGGTAGCCATGACAGTGTACAGTCTAGTGTGTGATATATATAACAAGTCTATGGGAGATCATGACAGTGTACAGTCTAGTGTGTGATATATATAACAAGTCTATGGGTAGTGTACAGTCTTGTGTGTGATATATATAACAAGTCTATGGGTAGTGTACAGTCTTGTGTGTGATATATATAACAAGTCTATGGGTAGTGTACAGTCTAGTGTGTGATATATATAACAAGTCTATGGGCAGTCATGACAGTATACAGTCTAGTGTGTGATATATATAACAAGTCTATGGGTAGTGTACAGTCTTGTGTGTGATATATATAACAAGTCTATGGGTAGTGTACAGTCTTGTGTATGATATATATAACAAGTCTATGGGTAGTGTACAGTCTAGTGTGTGATATATATAACAAGTCTATGGGCAGTCATGACAGTGTACAGTCTAGTGTGTGATATATATAACAAGTCTATGGGTAGTGTACAGTCTTGTGTGTGATATATATAACAAGTCCATGGGTAGTGTACAGTCTTGTGTGTGATATATATAACAAGTCTATGGGTAGTGTACAGTCTAGTATGTGATATATATAACAAGTCTATGGGAGGTCATGACAGTGTACAGTCTAGTGTGTGATATATATAACAAGTCTATGGGCAGTCATGACAGTGTACAGTCTAGTGTGTGATATATATATAACAAGTCTATGGGCAGTGTACAGTCTAGTGTGTGATATATATAACACGTCTATGGGCGGCCATGACAGTGTACAGTCTAGTGTGTGATATATATAACAAGTCTATGGGCGGCCATGACAGTGTACAGTCTAGTGTGTGATATATATAACAAGTCTATGGGCGGCCATGACAGTGTACAGTCTAGTGTGTGATACATGATACAAGTCTATGGGAGGCCATGACAGGGCTTGGTCTATGACAAATAAAAAATACAAGTCTATGGGCAGCCATGACAGTGTACAGTCTAGGGTGTGATATATATAACAAGTCTATGGGCAGCCATGACAGCGCCCAGTCCAGGATAGAACACATGCAATTCCCATTTCTGGTGAGTCCAGATACTGACCCAGAAGACGTCGTAGACCAGAAGGCCCACCAGTAGAAGCGTGGACACCTTGAGGCTGGGAAGTCGCACCAGGGCGATGAACGCCACACACAGACCCATGCCCAGCGCTGGGGAGAAGGAAAAATAAATAGTTGAAATGTGTGAGTTTTTACACCCCCATCCACACAACTTTGATTATTTCACTCTTACTACAAAAAAGTTTATTCCTCCTGTGCACGCAGCCAATATTTTTTCATACAACACAACATGACATTACATAACACAACACACAAAAACACCAAACACTTCAAAACACACCACATCACAACACACCACATCACAACACACCACACAAAACACACCACACCACATCAAAATACACTACCCAAAACCATGACACAAAACACATCACAACACACCACAACACACCACACCCCACCAAAACACAAAACATCAACACACACAACAAAACAGCACACCCTACCACACCACACTGTACCCCCTCCCCCACAACACAGCACACCTCCCCCCCCCCACACACAACACATCACACAGCACACCGGATCACAACACATACCCTACCACAACACACCCCACTACAACATGACACACAACACAGCACACCCACCATCCACGAGTAGCCAGTGACCAGTGAGGATCCACACACAGACAATGGTGAACAACAGACACACACACACACACCACAACATGACACAACACACACACACACACACACACACACACACACACACACACACACACACACACACACACACACACACAACACTGACACCACACAGCACCCACCATCCATGAGTAGCCAGTGACCGGTGAGGACCCACACACAGACGATGGTGAACGACAGACAGAACGAGATGATCTCAGCCGCCGTGAAACGGCCACACACTCCAAATGAGATCCTGTGGGGAAAATACAAAACTGTTTAAACATCGTGTTTTCACTGATGTGACAAAAAGGGTTAACCTGGGTCATTGTTTTAGTAGAGGGATTTACGGCGCTCGCAACTGCATAAGGTCATACGAGCGCCAGAAGATTAGAGGTGTTACAAGAGAGTAGCAAACATAAAAAAAGAAAAAGGGGAGATAAGGACGATAGATGGTTGATAGGAAAGAAGGAGCAAACCACACCAGAGCACCCACCAACCACCCATTAACCTGGGTTAAGGCATAAAGTGTCCCTGTGCTTTTTAAATAAATGTAACAAAACTGACTTAGTTGTCATCTTCAATCAGCGACTAATTTGTCCATGCTGTAAGTCATTTACGAAGACATAAGCCTCCTTTTCATTTACTTTAAGCTTTAATTATTTTTGCGGTACTTGCAACACAAATAAGTTTCAAAGAAGTGCCGAAGATTAGAGGTGTTACACGAGAGTAACAAACACCAAAAAAAGAAGGAGAGAAAAGACAATAGATGTTTGATAGGAAAGAAGGAGCAAACCACACCAGAGGACCCGCCAACCACCCACTCCCTGAGCGTTTCAGACGTAACCTGACTGACATAGTAGCCATCTCTAACTAGCAACTTATTTTATTTTCCCACGTTGCAAGTCATATGGGAAAACATAAGTCTCCTTCTCATTCACTTTAAGTTCCAGCTTTTTTAGTTTTAGTTTTAGTAGAGGTTTTACAGCGCTCGCAACTGCATGAGGTTATATGAGCGCCAGAAGATTAGAGGTGTTACAAGAGAGTAACAAACAAGAAAAAAAGGAGGAGGAGAGATAAGGACGATAGCTGTTTGATCGGAAAGAAGGAGCAAACCACACCAGAGTACCCACCAACCACCCATTTCAGCTAGTTTAAATACAATTATAACATAAACAAGTCATATCCAAGCACCAAAGATGAGAGGTCTTACTGGGGAGTAACATACATAGAAAGGAAAATAAAGAGGAGAGATAAGGACAAGGACAATAGATAAGGACAATAGACAAGGACAATAGATAAGGACAAGGACAATAGATAAGGACAAGGACAATAGATCAGGACAATAGATAAGGACAAGGACAAAATATAAGGACAAGGACAATATATAAGGACAATAGATAAGGACAAGGACAATAGATAAGGACAAGGACAATAGATAAGGACAAGGACAATAGATAAGGACAATAGACAATGACAATAGATAAAGACAATAGATAAGGATAAGAAAAATAGATAAGGACAATGACAATAGATAAGGACAATAGACAATGACAATAGATCAGGACAATAGACAATGACAATAGATAGGGACGATAGATAAGGACAATAGACAACGACAATAGATAAGGACAATAGACAATGACAATAGATAAGGACAATAGATAAGGACAAGGACAATAGATAAGGACAAGGACATTAGATAAGGACAATAAATAAGGACAAGGACAATAGATAAGGACAATAGAAAAGGATAAGGACAATAGATAAGGAGATAAGGACAAGAGATAAGGACAATAGAAAAGGATAAGGACAATAGATAAGGAGACAAGGATAATAGATAAGGACAATAGAAAAGGATAAGGACAATAGATAAGGAGATAAGGACAATAGATAAGGACAAGAGATAATTGACAGGAGGAAAGAAGGAGCAGAAAACACTTTCAGAGCACCCAGC